CAAATCTTGAAAGGAAATAAACTGAAACAATGTGCAAGTACTTTTTATTGCTTTTATACAGTTGTGAGTTGAAGTTTTATTTTAAACTGAGTATCAGTACAAAACCAAACAATATTTTATTGCCTGCTGAAAAAATGTGAGCTACTAAACTGACCAAAAATTAACGATAAACTTCAGAGCAAAGGTTCTGTCTTCTGAATTTGTTTTTTGAATTCTTCCTGCTATAATATTGACTAAGATTTCCGTACTTTCCGACTGAAGGAGGATGCTATTTTTTCAAGGCCATTTACTATCTGACAAAAGTAACTTTCAAAGAATTAATGCATGGGTATGAATGGCAAAAAAAAGTATTTAAATTTCAAATCCCCCACACATATGTAACCGCTCAATTCAAGGTACTCAACGGTTTAAATGATTTTCCTCCTTTTAGTTAATTCAAGCTCAGTTTAAAATATTTTTCCAGCATTTTGATCATTGCAATAAAACGTTTTGAAAAAAAAAAAACAAAACAAAAAACAACAGCTGAAGACGCAATTGATTTTTAGATTAAGTTGGTAAATGCATGCACAGAGAAACCAAAAGTCAGCAAATAACTCATTGAATTTTGAAGATGCAATACAAAATGGGGGGAAAAGCAAATAAACTCAGAATTAAATACAAGGACGAGACGTAAATGGAAAAGAAAAGCTAACACAGAAACGAAGCAAAAAAGGCACATTTACATTGAAAACCCTATCTTTAGGCTTTATAGTGGTCCATGCATTTTCCAAGTGTGGTAAAATGTTTTTTACACAAAAAATATGTGATTTCAAGATGTTTCCCTGACATATACATGAGAATTTAAATGAAGTATATTACACAAGTAAAAATGGCCATAAACTTGAAGGTTTATTGAAACAGCGGACAATGCGATGACAAAGGCGTTAGAGGTAAAAGGGTAATCTTGAGGTAATTAGTTGACGATACATGTACCTTGTACCTTTGTGAGGGGCTCAGTTATACTTCTTCCCCCAAAAGAGGGGAGAGAAGAATTTTTCAGAGGTAAGTTGCATGTGTCATATTGACTTAGTTGCTTGTTTGCTATGACTGAGGGATTTAAGGTCTCTTTCAAAGTCTAATAATTTCTGGAATTCACAATTGTACTTACTTGACATCGGTTAAAAAGATCTAGATATTCAAACATGTTCTGAAGGAGGAACCTTTAGGCTCATATTCAGGGTAGAGATTCTAAAGATTCTCCAATGCCTTTCAAGCACATGGTAATCATCTGAAGTTATGATAGATGCTGGTTTTTACGGCATTGGTTAGGATTAATGGACTGAACAAATAAATAAGTTTTGCACAATGTAATGGTTGCACACACCTCCAGCAACCCAATTTTATCTTAAATTCGTATCAACTCATGATGTACTTACATATAAGTCATACCACATGGCACCAAAAAGAAAAAAAACTGTCAATTTTTTTAAAATTTTGTTGTTTGAATAGTGTTGTTTATAAAAGGTTACTAAACGTTTTCATTTTTTATCTATATTAGTTCACACTTGTAAAAATGGGCATTTTCTTACATGTCTCAAACCTTCAAGATTCACATGGTCTTGGAAAAATACAGAGCTACACACATAGGAAAAAAAGAGAAGAAAGTAGGTAACTATACACTAGCTTAACGACTGATAGGTATCATTCACATGCTAAGAATGTAGAAGCTGTAGAAATACTGACCACCTATAGTTGAACCGATTAAAAGATTCAAGTCTTTCTTTGTTCAACTGAAGAGATCTTATGTATGATAAACATCAAAAACAGCAATTAATACAGATTTAGAGAGTTATAGTTCCATTCACAAAAAAGAGAGCTGAGGTTGATAGGTTTGAAAACACTTCTTTTTAACGAAATATACAAACATCAAGTAAGTACCTGCATAAAAACAAGCTGTAGGAACTAATTGAAGTACAAAATTAATCTACTCCTCTGCCCTATCTCATTCCTCTTACGATTGAATAATTGAAAAAAAAATTAGTGATTGAAACATGTACAGTTTAATCACGTTAAACCACTTGTAAAACAATATGTCAGTTTCATCAGAAAAGATTGTCATTGGCATAGATGTTTTTTGAAATTATGGTCGAAAAGAAAATAACTCTCACTTTTTCATGCCTGAGTGCCTGTGTGTAACAAATTTTAAACAAGAAACTTTAATTTATTCTTTGATTGGAAACGCATTCATTTGAGCAGTGATTGTTGTCGAAAATTAAAAAAAAAAAAACGTTGAGGGTAGAAGAAAGGGTAGAGGTGGTTTGCGCTCGCTATCTCATTGTTATCCATGTAAGCGGAAAATCCATGATCAGAAAGAGTACCATCTCACGTTCAAAATTTTGAATGGTGCCTCAAACGTTTTAGAAGAACCATGCTTTACTCAGAGGTATATTTGAGGAAATGGTGCCTTGAACCCAATGGAGAACAATAGGGAGCTGAAATCACAGCTGATTCTCTTATCCGGTTTTTCTTTATGCGACCTCACTTGAACTGCATAATCAAAGTTTAATTTTTTGTTATGAGGACAGTTATGAATTAACAGAGGAGAAATTGAGGAGTTATGAAATAACAGAGGAGAATGTTTCATACGGGTTCCTTTTTCACTTTTGCTCCATAGGAAGAGGAGGGAGGTAGCTTCTATTGAAGATGGAATGACTCAAGAGACACTAAGCCCTGGGATAAAGCTAACAATTTATAAAACAAAAAAAAAACCACACATTCCAGAGGTCTGGTTGTCTGATTTACATCCACAGTTTTAAGTATGACAGAATTAAACACAAGTGAGGAATTTTACTTTTATAAATAGATGATTAATCAGCAGAAAGCATTCAGCTTCAAGGTCTTTTTCTTTTAGACACATGACCCTTAATAAGGGCAGCTTCTTTGGCAACACTAACACGTAGCATTGCAACCATAAAGAAACACTCACATTTTGAATTCAAATCCTCTGCATTACTGAGCTCCTTCACATTCTTGAGGTTTACTCTCTGAGTGTCAACTCACTACTTTGGAACTGAATGTTTTCCATTGTTCTAATATCCTTTTTTATGAGTCAAACATCTAATCCTTGCAGTAAACAAGTTGGAGTAATCCAATCTTTTTATTTAGTACACAAATTATCTACTTATGCATTGGTGCAAATATCATACATTTACATTAAACAGATTAGAAGAACAAAAAGAAAGTCACACAGAGTAGAAATATAGGAAGAGTAGAGAGTGACTGATATTCAAACAATGATTTCTAAAATAGTATTTACGCATTCCAAATGAGCACTTTTTGTTGGGTGAGTTTTGAATTTTTGTGGGGCTTCATTAAAAATGTCATTGTTTGAGAGTTCCTGGCGTTGCAGAAAAATTCAAGATAACTTGGAATTAACAGAGTGATGGAATAGTCATGGCATTATTTTTTCTCTCTTAAAGTGTACATGAGATAATGTACCGTGTAATTTGCTTGATGCAGTAAAGCAATGAAAAAGAGACTGTATTAAGAGTAATTTTTTTTTACATATTTTAGGTAAAAGGATAGAAAGAATTTGGTTCAAGTCTCTCACGAGAAAGAGAATCCAAAACAAATAAACTACTGAGAAAGAGGGGAAGAGAAGCTGAGACAGAAGTTGATAAAAATGTGTTTTAACTGTATATATACAAGATGAGTAAAATATTACACCTGGGAGCCACATTTTAAAACTCATTCTAATTCAGTAATTGGTAATGGATGGAGAAAGGATAGAAAAGTAACTTCAATTTGTTTTTTACTGAACCAGTCTTAAATGCTTCTTGTAATAATTGACTGTGATGCATTGTGCACACACACCAAATTTCTAAGTCGGTAAATTGTGTGATTTCTTTACTTTACAGTTAACGCAATCATTGCTATATTTGATTGAAATCACCATACATTATTGACACAGTTACGGAGCTTGGTTATAAAATGTTTCCTACGAAGTGCTCTCTCTCAATAGCAGTCTTCTACATAACAGATAAATGCACTGACCCCTTCCCCTACTAGGTAAATGTATTTTCCCTTCTGTCTACTGGATCTTTCTCCTTGACGGATGAATCCTCTAGTCTCTTGAGAACTGCTGCAGAGAGAGAATACTGCATTCCACAATAGCACTTGAATTATCCTTCAATTGACCAGAATGAACTCTGAAAAGCTCATTGAGCTGAGAATTGGAAGAGCTTTTTGTGTGATGTGTAGTTTAGACATAAACACTTCCAGAAGAAGACAAAGTTTAAAAAGGAACATGTCATTCAGATAATAAGCTATCTCTATTTTTACACATTTTGCGGGGGAGCAAAAACTCTATTGAAGAATATAAACCAACCATTCAATAAAAGTTTGAAAGGAAATAAGTTGTTTACCTCTGAAAGATGGCCTGGAGTGAGAGCAAGTAAGGCTCGATATTTGGGTAGATACTGCCCATACCAAATAAGTTTACACACATTAAAAGTGCAACAGGAGATCAGCTGTCTTTAAGTTCAGCATTGAAAGTAAATTTAAGAATCAAGATATGTAGTGAATCTTCTGTCACACTCTGGAGGTAAGAAAACTTCTTTGGTGTAGACTCAAAGAGTGAGGACGTTGATAATGGAGATTTTTTTCTTTTGAAATACTCTTGTTTGCTCAAATCCAATGTTCAAATTCGAGGAGATGAAATAGATTCAAAACTCAAACTAAAATGACTATTCAAACAAACTTCTTTTCTATTTTTTGGCAAAATATTTGCGTACACATGAAGAATAACCTTCCACTAATATTGCAATTTGTGAAAAAGTTGGAAGATGCATTGCGTTCAAAAAGACATGTTAAAATGGGGGGGGGGGAGAATTTGAATAAAAGAGATTCTTGACATTACTCGGTATTGCAGACAGAATTTGATACTGGGAGAATTAATTGTAAGTAAGGCTGTGAAGTCTGAGCGGGCGTAGAAACAACTATAGAAGGAAAAAACTACATACCTTCCTTGCTTTATTATGGTAGTCTTCAGCATTATGAAGTTCCAATCTTCCGGCTCCTACTTGATCTTTGGTTTGACTAACATGGAATTCTATTCTATCAACTAATTCACCCTAGAAGTGGGAGTTAGGCATGGCAAACGGATGGAGAAGAGGAGATGAACATGTAGATTGGTGGAAAGCAAAACACACGAGAGGAGAGACAATGACGTGTCCAGCCAGTCAGTTGCAAGATCGAGAAGAAGGACGTAGAATGGTGGTAGAGGTAAACGTAGCGTCAGTTTAGTAGAAGACAGAGAGCAATAGGAAGCAGTACAGTTAAACATAGCAATGACATCAATCACACAGGTGACCAGTTAACATCAAGAGATGACGATAATAATTAGGTACAATAATTTAGTTAAAAGGCAACAACGAAGAACAGCACAACAATGATTTGTAAGTTCAAATTAATTGAAGTCGAAAAATTAATTTTTGAAGACGTAGGTTGAAGAAAAAGAGAGAGATATTCAATAAAACCCCGGAGTTAAAAAACGAAACGATGAAAAACGTAAACAAAGAGAGAAAAAATATTGATGATGAACGACATGGTTAGATACACAATGAATTAATCAAGGAATAATAGAGAGAAATGACATTGATTCACACCCAACACACACAACACATACAGACAAACAGAAATATAAAATGGAAAATAAAAACAGGAGAAGAATTGTTAATATTAGGAATAATATAAAGATTAAAGGGTAGTAGGAGGAAATTATACGGCAAAAAAATGATACAAGAAAGTGAAAAATGAAATATGATTAAGAGGAAAATTGAAAAAGGATTAACGTAATTTTGTAGGTGGAAAAAAAAGGAAATCGTAAATAAAACAGAGGAAGCATGGACAAGGATTCAGAAATCGGATCATAAGGAGAAATGAGGATGGGAATTAATCAAAACGGATGAAGGTTTGGGGTGGAAAAAAGAGAAATAAATAAAATAAAAATTAAAAACAAAAACATAATTGATAGAACTGTAAATAAAAAATAAAAAGTCAAAAATAAAATCAAAACATAAAGGCTAACAAAAAACCGGAAGATCTAGGACATCTTGCAGACACTCAGAACAGATCACTCTAAAAGTACGTAAAGGTTTGTGGCTTACCCGCCGCGCTTTACTCTGATATTTTAATGCTTTCTTAGTATCTTGTGTTGCAGTTTGAACATAATCGACCGCATGTTCTACATGATATTCGATACGGTCAATCATTTCTCCCTTTCATTTGTAAATAAAGCACATTTGAATTAATAAATATACATACAAATGGATTACATTATATCCTTAAAGAGTGATATTGATTTCATAACATGTAACACATCACAGGGAGTATTTATGCTAAAATGAAATACGTGCAAATGGTTAAATCAAAAGGAACGAAGCAGCATTAAATTCTACATACATCTTTTTGATTTAATTCATTTGCACATAGTTCCCTTTGGCATTAACACGACCAGTTACGGTTATTGATAATAGGTGTATTTTTTGAGTCTGAAAAAATTCAGATGTTTTAGATTTTGTGGAGTAGCTTTGATAAACAAAGAAAATAGCTTGAATTTTGAAGATGAAGAGCGAAAATTGAATCAAGAAAGCTAATGATGCTAATAATAAGCTAATGATGCCTTTCCAGTAGACACAATTCCTTCTTCAAGACCTCATCCTTGAAGGAACATGGAAATGCTTAGCATCCTCTACCTTAAACGTTGTCTCATTATTATCGATTTTCTGTATTTGAGGCTTACATAAACGATTGATTAAAGTTTCGCTAAACTTGTACAAGCAGTTTGCGCAAGTCATATATTTTCCACTGAGTCTTGAGCTAAATTTTTGCAAAATTTGATGAATTTGTTTACGTTAACCTTTTGAATGTATTCTTGAAAGTCATTAGTGTTTTGAGATTTATGTACATTTTTGACAAAAGCTTGGAAATCATTTTGTCAAAGAATTTGACAGGTTGGTTATAGAGCCAATTCATTGCAATCATAGGCATCATTTCATTAGTATCAATCCACAATCCAAGGAGAGCGTCTTTTAATTTCAGAGTACGATTTAAATCATAGTTCCTGAAACTTTTGCTTCTCCTCAGAATGAAAAGAAGCTTCTGATGAATTGTGGTAGAAACCGATGAGGAAGGCAAAACTTCTGAATGAATTGGTTTAAAACGGCCTGCTCAGTTCTTTGACAAGGGATTTTGCAAGTTTGTGCCAATGCCTTAAAATACTTAGCTCATGACAATAACGTTCAAAAGTAACTTTAAAAAGTAAAACAAAACAATATTATTTTCCTTGCAATAAACCTTTTTAAGTGCATACACAAACTTAAAAGAATTTTCAGACTTTTTCAAAGTAATTTTAAGGTGCTTTGATCTTTAGGTGAGAACGATTATGGCGGCGTAGGAAAAATGCTCTTCTGAGCTTGCCTAGGGTCTAATAAAATATTAAAATAATGCCAAGAACATACTAAATCCCACGGTTTAATTGCTTACTTTCTTTCTAGCATTAATGATTAGCGAGGAAAGTTGAAGGAGACCTTATTTTCTGTACGACCTTTGTAACTGACACATTTTTCTCAAAGTTGATAAAATAGGTCAAAAAAATACACTCATATATGAATAAAGGCATGTATTTCAACGAGGCACCAAATATCAGAGATTGCAATCAAATTATCTGAAAGACCAGCTGGTTATTTATTCCCTTTTTTGAAATGAATATCTCATGGGAATTGAAAAGTCGACCAAATTCACTCACTGTAAAACTTTGTTTAGGAATGTACAGAAAATGAAAAGATTCATACTCTCTTATAAAAAATAATTCAAATACAGCAAAGGTAGGCCTCTGTTCAACAAATGTTTTTGCAAATTCTTTGCTTTTAACGCGTGGTGAGCTCTTATGTATTATGGGAGAGGCAATATAGTGAGCTTTTGGATTAAGGACCTCTCCAAGAAGGGTTTAGGCTTTTTAAGCACATACTCCAAAAAATGTCTATATTTCCAACTGTCAAAAGTATGGTTCCCTCAATAATATCTTTTGATGTAGAAATATTGCGCTTTTCTGTGTTTTCTTACCTGGTTTTCAACAAGCATAGCCATATCCATAAACATGTCATGCAACTCTCGTATAGAATTTTCTAATTTTATAATATCCGCATGTCTTGCTTCAATATCCGCTAGAGTTTGTTTTGCCTGCTGTGTTTCCATTATTATCTGAAAAACATAAAATTAGAATGGACTATTACACCAAAATAGATGAAATTTATGATACGCATGAGAATATTTATAACCTAATGCATATTCCCTTTGTATTTCCTTGTGGGTGCAATGAAAAACAATAAAATTCGCAAGGAGTCATGGTTTCGAGAAGTGGACTATTAAGTTCCAAGTTTCCATTGAGGCACTCACATATTGAGAGAAATAATTTTACAGAGGTAGATGCTAAAAAATTGTCTTCACATTGACTCATAACAAAGTAAAAAGATTGTCCACTCTGCTTTACTGTCAAAACAATTTCTGAATGTTGAAGAAGGAGGGACAGAGAATCCTATACATAAGTGAAATATTTGCAATGATGAAGTCCGTTGGAAGAAAACAATTACTTTTTGCTCAGCTTCCACTTAAGATTTAAATGTTCCATTAAAAATATGTGATCAAAAGGCTTGAACAGCTCTCAAAAAGATAGGTTAAAATAGGAATTTGTCCATTTATTTCAAATGAAGGAGGACAGGCTTAATATTATATGGGATAAATTATTAGATTTTAAGCAGGGTTTTGGGGTGTTGGGGTGTTTTTATAACGAGAAATTGTATTCCTCACCCCTTGAGTGAACACAGCAGAATTTCCTTGTTCTAACATTTCTTCTAATTCCTCATTTGTCGTTGTTCTTCCAGCTATATGAAACAAAGGTGAAGAAGAGACGTGATCAGTATTATATTATGTCTATTAGCTATGCTTATATATGTGGAATTTTTTACGCAATCCACGCTTTCAAAATCGCTTAAGAATTATTTAAGAAAAAGAGATAGTAAATCATTTGCACAGAAGGTGACTTTCTCTGTTAATCTCTAGACATAAATTCAAAAAAATTGAAAGGAAGTTTCGAGCAAAGTGCAGAGTAAGTGAGGAATTACTAAATATTTTTCTGCAGCAAGATGAGTACTTTGCCCTTTTATTTCAGATCATAAGAGAAAAAACAACAGGAAGGAATGAAAAAAATTACTTTCTAAAATTGGCTCACAGCACAAGATTTGCCTCACTTTTGTTGGTGTCTATAGACAGCAGATGGGGCATTTTTTTCGCCTGCATAAGTTATTCAAGGATAATGTTACTATCATCGTACAAAAGATAATCCCACCCAAATCAACGGTGGCACTTAAGATGAAATTAGAGGGTGCAATTTGTGGAACGACCACTGTTCAGTTTGGCAGGGGTGCGTGGCAATAAGGTGTCATCAGAGTGTCCAAGCCCACTATGAAAGCCACTTTTTGAAATACATAAAGGATAAATGTCTATAATCTTGTATGCTGTACTTTTATTTAAATTCAATTATTATTTTGATTCTCACTGCTGCAAATGTAGAAAGATGAACTGGGTCTGATACCTGCTTTTTGGAGTTAACAAACAAGATTGTAGTATTATCAAATATTTTCAAGTCATGGATTCAATGTAAACATTTATTTTGTTTCTTTCTCTAGTAGAATTTTCATCAAATATAGTGTCTCATGCTTTGTCTTCTGCTCAAATCCATAAGTTAACTTACATTAACAAACTTACTCATATGAGGCTATGCATGCCAAAATGAGTTTAAAATATTGATGAAAATAGCTTTAAAAAATGGAAAAAAATATTACTGAAACCCAATTCAATGTAAATGTAACTCAACTTACTGATTTCTAATTGCCTTTGTATTCTTCCTTTGCACCTTTCACGATAATCGGTTTGTGTTCGGTTATATTCAGTCATGACTTCAACAAACTTTCTTGATAACGTGGAGTGTTGAGTTTTGCGTATCCTTAAATCTGCAGACGATTTATTTGTATGTTCTTCTTGCTCTATATTCTGTTCAATCACTGAAAATATAAACAAGAAGGAAATTTGACCTCAATATATTTGAAAGAAGGCATAATTATTGATAGATCCTACATCAAAGGTAAATACAAAAAATGTATAACGGCGGGGGCAGTAATGACCTAGTTTAATTGCCATGTAAGTACTCGTAAAGCGCTGCTGTGACAAGAGGAACCCCTGACTAGGTAGTCATTAAGGTTTTCTTCGCAATTAGGCATGATAGTCATTGCTGCGCAGGCACAGAAACTCAAAACGCCTTCAATATTTTGAATATGCAGCAAGGACATCCGTCGAGCAAGAATAGTTGTATCCAGACTTTCACGCTTATGCTGCCGTTCTGGGGAAGAACGCCGTGCTGCATGAACCTTCGAGCGTTGAAAAATTTCCTTACATAAAATACGAGTTTTCTGGGAGACTTGGGAATATTGTCCAATATTTCGTAGTTTTTGTAAAATTTAAAAATTTTATCGGGGGAAATTCAGCGACAATTGAATTCTCATGTGGCATCTCTCCTTAGTACAGCAGCATATCCGTCAAATATTTTGCATGGGAGTTGCGAAATTATGATGTCTGGAATTCTTGAATAGTCAAATTCCACGATTTGTTTAAGATAATTTTTGACAGGAATTGGGCATTTTCTTCTCCTATTTCACAGATTTTTAGAGAAAAAACTAAATTTTTCTTCAAAGTTTCAAGCAAAATTATTATTAATTAATTATTAATCTTCTAGAAAATCGTGTGGCACCTCATCGACGTGAACCACCTGATTTAAGAGCAAAATAGCCTCGGATGAGAGTGGGAAAAATTCCTGGTATTTTAACATCGAAAACTATTTCCCTAATTTTCTTGGAATTTGTTCATTCCCTGATGAATTCAGTTTTCTCGGTTATTTGAGGCCCTGGACATAAGTTGTAAAACATAGAACTTCTGCTGCAACTTTGAAGGGGAATGATAGGGTGAGCTCGAGAATTTGATGACGCAGTCATAGTAGCCTTTAAATAAGTTAGGGTAATATACATAAATGCTTCGCTGCAAGTTGAGAGTAATTGAACTTTTTGCATACCTTTTAATTTGGCACGAACTTTGTTGGCAGTTTTTTTAATGTCGGCCATGAGGTCCTCCAGCTCCTGCTTGACTTCTGTAAAATAAAGCAAGGCAAAAAAATTAGTAAAATGTAAAACAAAAACAAACGAATCATTACAGTATAGTCCAGCAGTTGTTGAAACAGAAACGACCTTTGTGACCGAACACATACCTTTTCGTTTAAACGATTCCGAATACATGTCTCGCGGTACACTTTCGTCAGAACAGACTTTTCCGTCACGTTCAAAGGGTTGATAGAGGAGCAGGAATTGGACCGAGTTCATCAGAAAGAAACCAACCCACATCAGGTTTCAACTGGGAAAAAGAGGTTTGAAGTTTCATTTCTGCATAAGGCTAAATGTAAAAAATACACTTCAACCCCTCTTTTCCCAAACTAATATTTTTTTTTCGACTTTCAGTTTTTGGCAGGAGAAAATATACGGCTAGCGGAATTCGAACACTCTTAATTCAGTTTTTCGAAAATGTGGGTTGGTTCTCTTCTGAAAAATTCGGTCCAACTAAAGGGCGCAAGATAAAATGCATTACATTTTGCAATGAGGAATCACTATTTCTGGCCCATTTTAGAAACAACATACATGCCATTGGTTACCCTATGCACATTATGTGCTTTTATGGATGAGCCGGAGATAGAGGTTCCTTACTGCAAAATGTAATCCAGATGTGTTTGGTGGCGAAGAGCTGCTGCTTGATGAACGGCAAAAGAAAAGACACTGACGCCTCAAGGAAAAACACCGTAAGAACAGTCAAGTGTTGCCAGATTCCCCCGGTTAAATATTCCTTTTTGAAAAAGGTTGTCAGTTTGTGTTGTCAATATCCAAGAGTGATTCATTATTGCAATTGTCAAAAGCCGTCGTTTGTTAAGCACGTATTTTACTTAGTTTTTGGATAAATTTACTCATTTCTTCAGAGGAACGCTCATTTATGAACATTCTCGGGTATATAGGTTTGAGATTAGAATCTGAAAATTCGCAGTGACATTTTTTGTGTTAGAAGGTCAGCTAACTCTAAGAGCTCCATATTTTGACTTGTGCATGGGCTCCCTATACAGATAGGTACTCTAGCTTTAACCTTGGACTACCCGGTATAAAGATACTCTAGGTTTAACCTTAGAACACCCTGAATACAACAGATACTCTAGGTTTAACCTTGGATTACCCTGTATACGTCGTCTCTGCTCATCATGATTGAGGTGAAGGAGGGCTGAGCCCGGATTCTGATGACTCAGCATCAGTTCGGGACTCGATGGCGGATTTGAGGCATCTTGAGGCGAAGGGGGCCAAGTCCGTTTTGCTGATGAGCCCCAGATTACGTCAGAATACTAGCCCTGAGGGGCTCATCAACAAAATGAACTTAGATCCATTTCCTTCAAGACGCCTCATTTCGTCGCCTTTCTGACGTAAGGGTGTATCTCGATTTCCACTTGAGCTCTGTAGTCTATGTAAGGCAATGCTTTTCAAGGCTCACTGAGAAATTAAGATTCGCCCTTAGAAAGATGGACGATTCGAGGATAGCAGACAATGGCGGGAAGCATAAGGGGAGTTCGGAAGGAGCCGAATGCTAAGTTAAAGGACGAGAACGAGGCGAACTTGTTGCTGTACAGAGAAGAAAAGTCAATCAAGGAGCGGTCTGCCCGGGTGTATAAACGGTGGGGCTGGCTGAATTCGGGGGCGGTGGGGGACCGTCGGGGAGGAGGGGGGGGCATTGGCGAGAATCCAACGTATGCGCGGGGCCGGGTCCGGGGCGGCGGCCGGAATGCAGCGCGGGCGGTATGCACGAGGTGGCAGGCGCTGGATGCAGGGTGCACGGCGCAGAGTGCAGCGTCGGATATCGATGTCAGTCGGAGCGCCGAGCGTCGCGTCGGACGGACGCGTCGACTCCGGGGGCCACTAGCGCCTCGCGTGCCACTCCGCCGCCTTAGGAGCAAAAACAACCTATCAGCATTCCCATATTGCCAAAACTCCACCGCGACGAAATATACTCCATTGCCAGGGGAGTTATGGATGCATATTATTAAAACCCCGCAAAATCCTCGCATTGAACAGGATTGCCACAAAATTTGGAAAACGAAATTCCCTGACATTTCCCTGATTTCCCTAACACATTTTGGTGAAATTCCCTGACGATTGCAGATATGCCAGGTGGTAAAACGACATAATTAGAAATAGTTTTCAGGCAAAATTTGTCGTTCGGAATGTCAAACTCATTCTAAAAAGCAAATAAAGGTGACTTGATAATTTTTCCTGGACATTTCCGTCATTTTCCCCAACATTTCCCAGTTTCCCCAGTATTCCCTGACTGTGGCAACCCTGACTGAAACCAGTGGCGTGGCGTGCTTTGCGATAAATCGATTGTTATGCCATTTAAACCTGAGGAAATGGATCCATAAACACGGTGTTCGCAGCGAACACCTTCATAATCGATTCTTTACCATAGGTTTAAATGGCATAACAATCGATATACCGCAATTCACGCCACGCTACTGATTGAAACGTGAGTAGAATCCTCTGTAAAATTCCTCAAAATTTCTAAAAAAAAACCTTTTTATCGCGGAAATGTGGCAACGCCTGAATGCTCATACGCCGTTGTTCCTGAGCGCGGGAGCAAGCACTCGCGTTGCGCCAAGCTGAGCACGGTCGTGAGTAAGACGGGAAGGGTTGGTGGGGGGACGAGAGGCGGCCGGGGGGGGGGGGGGGGNNGGGGGGCGGCGGTGCGCTACGATAGAGAACGAACCTTGACCAAGGCAGTCGGCCTCGGCACTACACCCCCGCCCCCGCCCCGGACACCCCCGCGAATGAGAATTGAAGGTGCCGCGCATCAACCTAACCTATATTCGGAAAATAAGGTCTTTTGACTCCTTGTTCCCTGAGCCCGGATCAGATCCCTGAAACCCGATTTCCGAGGAGGCGCACAGTGCGGCACCCTTATGGACGATGCGGACAAAAATCGGCAAAAGACACTTAACTTTAAATAATGAAGATAATAGCACCGACATAGGAAAACCCTTTGGCACTATCAAAGTAAAACACTCGAGGAATAAGAAAATGTTATACCTCAGGTTTTTTTTGCGTATTTTTCGAGAAAAGTTCATTCGAAGTTGGCAACCTCGAATTAGCCCTGCGTTGACAATGTAAAAGCAACGTGAAACACCCAAACTTCAACTTCAAATATCTCCGATAGTCGCAAAAAGTCGCGAGATCTTTTTCGTAGAATTGAAGTTGGATGTCTGGGGATTAAGAAAATGTCAACCACCCAGAGCATTTTGCGTTTCTAGCGAGAAATCTCTATTTGAAGTTGACGTCTTTCTCCCGTGTATTTCTTACGGACCAGTGATTCCCGACCTATTTCCTGTCCACTTCCTACCCACATTTCGTCGTTTCCAGCACGAAGGAACGTAACTCCATTCCAAGGTTGCCAAATCGACTCGAACAATTAATTTATTTTACAAAAATTTACGTAAACAATTTTTATCCAAAATTGGTCTGTTTTTTGCTTAAAATCTAGAGAAAAATCAGGGAATTTTTTAGTCAGAAATGCCCTAGATTCTCTTCATTAATTGGCAATTTGCGAGGGGAAATTTGGCAACATTGAAATGGAGTTACGTTCTTTCGTCCAGGAGACGACGATTTGCGGTAGTTTTGAGCGGAAAATTTGAAAATGAACCATCATAGTGAGTCAGAAATATCTTTAAGATAACAAATTCCGAAATTATATTCAGATGTCGAGTTGTGAATTTTTGACTTTTGTCCACAGAGGGCCGCACTGTGAGGCGGACCGGGGCCGGAGCGCCGACCGCAGCAACGGGTGCTCTCCGCCGCCGACACCCATCGCCGATATTGCCTTCGATTATCCACTCAAACCGTTGCAGCTCCGCGTACATTTTTCATTCCTTTTGAATGTTCCCCGTCTGCCCGCGGATTTTTTCCACCATTTATCTGCGCCTCGACCCGCGGGCTCCTCCGGTGCTCGTGGCAATTTTTCACGGCGGTCGGGCTCCTCGGTGAATCTGCTGGCGGGTCGGAAGCATCTCCGGGCGCGTCGGATTAATTGTATTCCAGATCCGCGGCTCAAAGTCTCCGTCCCCCCGCCCGACCGCTGATAAATATTAACGGTGCTTTTTAGAGAAGGCGTGGAGAGATGCTTCCAGGAGCTCGTCTCTGGCTCCGACGGGACGGTCACGCGGAGATACGTACCGCACTGGACTGTGATCCCAAGTGCAACCACAATTGCGAAGAGTCACCTTTACAAGTCATTGAATTTCGCTCTATTATTAGCTTAGGAGGACGAGATTTTGACTCTGAGGATTGCTGCGTAAGTAAACTCGTTTTCATACTCCCTGCCAGATATGACGAAGCAGC